CCCCAAATGACTGTCAACAAATCTGTGGAACATCATTCTCAACACTATTAATGTTCCACAGTAGAATTACATTTTTTTCAAATTGGTTGGATCAATATGTCTTTATGATCATTTTGACGGTAATCATGTGTTGTAGTTCCACATTTACAGTGAAATTGAGGGGCATTTGCTTTTCAACTTTAAATTATATATACGTAAAAATGTGAATGTGAAACAAAAAAAATTCCTTTTGCAAATTAACAGACCCAATAATGTGACTACATACAAGTTTTGTATTTCTTTAACTGTTTCCCGAATGATCTACCAAAGGCTTTTGTAAATGTGGGCGTTTTCAATAACTGTCTTTTCAAATAATAGCATTTGTTTACCTTTCATGATTCATTGGGTTACTGTTGTATAATGTTAGTTGTACGTATTGCGGTCTTTGTTGTCCTTGTACTATGTATCTTTGTGCTGCTTGGGGTTTTTTTTTGGAAATGTTTGTGGTAACTACCAGGCTTGCTTGTGCTTCGCAATGGAAGGGAACGGTGCCTTATAAATGTATATTACCAGTAGCATTTTTCTTCTCATTGAGACCATTCAAATTAGCTTTAATAAGTTATAGATTTAAGGACTGATCATATTGTGTAAAATATTTTTGGGGGAAATTTTTCTAGATTTTCCCACAGAGAGTGTATTTGTTTTGAATAGATATAATCTTGAATAAAAAGTTTTTCAAAAGGGATAGTTAATAACAATAAACTCTAAATACCACAGTTTATTCCTGCCTTTTGTTGCTGATGTTGTACGAATGTTAACTGTGTGTTCACTAGATAGATATAAATTGTGTTTCTTTGTTCAAAGAGCAACTTTGATCTTTGGATAACATGTGGAACATTGAGAATAATATAATATAAATCATATTGGCATTCCTTTGCAGCCACAACCATTGCGGGGCACACAACTGAATTCGTTAATGCTGTACTTGACAAGACTGCAAATGGAAATCCAACCGGTGGCTTGGAATTTGACACCCGCGAGTAAACGTTGAAGAAATGATGACGTTTCAACTGATGATCAAGACTGAAGGGGAGGGGAGAGAGGGTTTCCATGGATTGGCTGGTTATATATACATTACCACCTATTGCAATAGCTTGATATGGGACTGCATTTGTGTCTGTGGATTGGACTGGCTGGTTGTTGATATATTGCCATCTATTAGTTGGTTTGTCGGTGGACTGGGTAGCTATTTAAGTCATCTGTAACAGAGCTATATATACAAAATACTATATTTACATCTTAGACATATAACTTATATACAGCTGATCAGTGAAACTGTCTGTTTTCTTGCCATATATATGTAATAGCTTTCCATCATCTACAGCCAATCAGCTACAGCTTATGTTGGAGCTCATCATCTGCAACCAATTATCTTCAGTCTTTCTTAAATGTATAGCTCATCTGCAGCCTATTACAGTCTACATTTACAACTCATCATCTGCAGCCAATCAACTATAGTCTTTTTGAAGTTACAGCTCATCATCTGTAGCCAATCAACTACATTCATTTTGAATTTACAGCTCCTCATCTGCAGCCAATTACAGATTATCTAATAAATTTACAGCTCATTATCTGCAGCCAATTACAAACTATCTAATCTTGCAGCTCATTATCTGCAGCCAGTCAGCTACAGTCTATCATAGGCTGCACAGCACATCATCAGCAGGCAATCAGCTCCAGTTGTCTTCAGCTGCTACTCATCATCCACAGACAGTCAACTACAGTATATTTAATGTTGCAACTTATCATCTTCATTTTTAAACTTCTCAAAAATATGGTAAAGATTGAATAAATACTATGCAAAATCAACTGTATTTTAAGCTAGTACAGTCGCAACAAACAATTTACTTGTATATTATACACAGCTAAATTTAAAGGTGACATGACCATGTTACAGCACACCTGTAGTAGTTCCCCCCCCCTTCCCCGTGGAGTTGGTGTATTTCTTTTTGTAGTTGTAGTAGCTAGATCTGCTACAGTCAGATGTTTGGTGTCTTAATCCAACAATGGCACTAAAGCCTGCATCTCTCATTCACAATGGTTCATGCTCTGTCCACATTATCAAGATTTCTTTGACAAATATTTGAATTTCCCATATATGGGTGTGATGATGTCATACACACCCACATATAAGCAATTCACAGGTATTTGTCGCTTAAAACAGGGGTGGATCCAGAGGTGTCCGAAAGGACACCTAGCTTGTCGGGAGCATGCTCCCCACAAAATTACTGTTTTCTAGACGCTTGGAAATAATCTCTGAGGCATTTCGGGTGATCAATAATTCCTTTTTATTCTTTCTTTTTATTCTTTTTTTAACTTTCCAAAGGAGGAGCAGGGAAAGGCTCCGCCACCCCCTCCCCCCCCCCAAAAAAAAATCCGCCCTTGTAAAGCATTATAGTGTGAAGAGATTTGGCCTGACAATTTCAAGAATACTTTACTGTCAAATTATCAGAACAGTAAGAAGATTTTTTTCTTTTTTGATTGATGGCCCAGACTGATTGGTTATTCCAAAAAAGTCTGCAAAATTATTGTTGCGTTCCATATGCAAGTACCAATGCATGGCTCCTGAGGGCAGTATTCACACTCTGGATTGAACTGAAATATCTTTCCAATCTTTGCATGATAGGTGTTGGTATTAAACTAATGAAATTTCAATTTTTTCAGAAACAGGTATTATGGCATTTTTATATTTACTTATTTATCTGGAGTTATGTACAAGCTTTCCTGGACCTGCATATTTTGAAATGCACTGCATGCAACATTTGAATGCTGTGATTATTTTGTAAATCAGAAGTATGGACTGTAAGTTCTCATTCCTTTACTTCAGAAAGTATAGTTGTGATAAGTAGTAGAAATAATTCCCTCACCTTGGTTTTACATGTCTGCAGATAAAATATACAGAATGATGAGCTTGGTGATTGGTTCGGAGAGAACTCATCGATCGCTTATGACAAAAAAATGTTTAAATCTCAGAAGTTAAAACAATATGATAAATATATGCTGTGGAATAAACAGCAGATTAATTTTTAGTTCAAATAACTTATTTAAATAATAGATTTAAGAAAAAGATATTTAAATGGATCAGAGTGAATAATTGTAGACTTAAAATATATAAAAATGGTATATACACCTCAGTTTCCTCATGCAATATTAAAACTAATGAGTAGGGTAACTTGTGTATTTGGGAATAAAGGAGAAATGCTCAGAAATAATTAATACTACACTGAATCAATAATAGGCCCACCTTCAGGTGTAACCCTCTACCATACTCTGGCAGTGGCGGTGCCAGCGTCTGAAATCTGGGAGGGGAAGTGAGACTAGGGTTGGGCCAGACACATTTTCTGGGGGTAAATTCTCCTCTCAACTCCCCCCCCCCTTCCCCGTAGTAGTGGCACTGAACTCTGGGAGTGATGTTTGAGAGGCTGTTACATGAATCAGTGTGGTATCTAATTGCAGTAATATTTTGTGCAAGGCCAAATAAACAAAAATGTTTTTCATTCAGGTGGAATGAGATTTATTTTTTGAATTAATACTGAAACTGTACTGTATCACAATTACTGCAATTTCATATGAATAGATGTCACCCTTGTGTCAGGAAGGTCATCTTTTAAAGGTCAAACAGAACTTATATTTTTATCATTTTTACAGTATTATTTAATATCTATATTATACTATATCTGGTAAAAATATTCAGTGGTGGACCCAGGAATTCAAAATAGAGGGGGCCTCTAGGAAGGGCCTTTTACAGATGAAGGGTCTATGCAAGCAAGATATGACTATGGCACCTGGATGGCTAGAAATGGTACACTCAATATTTTCAAATACCACCCCCCCCCCCCATTGAATCTGCCATTGATGTTCTCTTTTTATCCCCTTTTAACTCTACTATATGGACTTCCTTGAAGCTTTGTGTTCTATTTTCAAACATTTTAAAAGTGATTTCACAGATCGTATGTATATAGGATCTGTGGTGATTTCATTTATAAAATAAATCATTGTAGAGAACAGACATTTTATCATTAATTTTCATCACCCCACTATCATAACCTCAATGTATATTATAAAAAAATTATTAATTTTATTATGGTAAAGAATATGTTGGATTATTTATTCAGATTTGTCATCATTATTATTAATATTTATTACAATAATATTGGTTAATTGTTATTATCAATATTCCTACAAGTTTTAGGTCTGATTAGTAGCGATTAAAAATATATTTACAAAAAGAAAAAAGAAATGAAACGGATTCGGCTTCAGAGGGAATTAGAAAATTAAAATTAATTAAATGTGTTGAAGTTACGTTTTACCAAACCTCTTAAGTTATTTAACCAAGTGATGTAAAATACAAAGAGAATCACCTGGAGTTGAAAATATGTAAATAAGATTGACTATTCTTGAAGGTATAGAGTATGCTCATTGGCTAGTCGAAAGACAGTTAACGTTGCCATGGCAATAAACAAGTATATACTGAAAAGCTCTTGGTATATTATAGAGATTATATGGATTTAAATGAAATACTGTATGTAGTACATAAAGATTAATGGTTTATTTTTCTGTATTTATCTGTAAAATTATAAAGATGCATTTCTAAGATGTTTTGTGCGTTAATTTTAGGTTTTTGATCAACCTTCCTTAAAATATAGAGCTTATGGGCAGGTGAAAGAAGAAACTAGAGTGTAGATACGCACAACCGCAAAGAGATATTTTGTAACGATAACATACACTTGCAGTGTATTTGAGTTGACAACGATGTTTGATGTAAGGGAGGCTTTTGATTTGAAATGTGCTATTTTTCTTGAATAAATATACTACACTAGCTTCTAATTGTTCTTTACTCATTTTCTAAAATCGGTCGTCGTCTAATGATATTTAAATACTATAGTGAACGATTTAGAAATTATTGTAAGACTCCGCCTGTAGACAACACCGCGGTTCGTCCCTAAAGAGACCCGCCCAGATTTGGATAGACCATTGAATGACAGGGCAGTTGTTTAAAAGCATCTGCCACTTCGAAAAACCACCATGTTCGTTCTGTTCATGCACACGGGAATCCCCGGGTAAATATCTCTTTACTGAAGTAATCCATAGAGAAAACATCCCCCCTGAACACCATCCCTATATTCCTCTGAGTCTAGAACTTGGGGCTAGAAAACATTATGAAAGTGAAGTATTTACAATTTATTATTATAGGCCTATTACTGAAGTAATCCAGAATACATATATATATATAATATATTATATATATATATATACAGTATATATATATGCATATATATGTATATAGGCCTATATATACATACATATATATATATATATATATAAATATAACAATAGATGAATTAAGTTTCTTTATTTTCTCATGTATAAATAGTGCAATGAACACGAATAATACAATGAACAACAGTGACTGTCCTTTACACTTTAATACTTTAAAATACTTTACTTAAAAATGTGTTATGAGTACACAGGATGCAATATGCTATGCATTATAATATTTGGAAATAGGCGTACAAATTAACGAATAGGAATAACATAGTTATGGTACAATTTTTATTTCACTTGCTTTCTAATTTCAACCCAAAGCAATAATTAATTATTTATCACACTCTAGATAAGTTGTACTTTGTACTATCACTTGAATTATTAAAAGATTTTTTTAATTATTATTATTAAGTGCTGTATTTGCTTCTGCTAAGCCTTATAACGATTACACTTCAATTTTAGTCATGTTTTTTTTTTTATAGCAGACAGCCCATGTAGGTAAACCTCCATGGACAGATCTACCAGGTGATAAGGGCCATCCCGGTTTTTTGTGAAAGGATGGATGGGCACAATCTTAAAAATAATGTGGTTTATAGTTTTACAGGGGTTCAGAAGTCCTACTGTGGGAACTTTACCTAGGTGCCAAGAAAAAATATGAAATGTTGATGGTAATGATGATGATGATGATGATAATGCATGATCATGATTATGATGAGAGGATGATAACTGTGTGATGATCGCGATGTCGGTGATAATGCTGGTGGTGATGATGATGTCGAGGACGATAACGACGATGATGGTTCTGCTCAGCGATTCAGTAAATGCGCCTAGCTGGGGGTGGCGTAAGAATGTTTCGTGGTGGGTGGAAGGGCCTGGGCGGGTCGGGCGTACGCCTTCTACACTCTTCCGTAAATACGCTACTTTAAGTGCACGAACATGTTTGCATAGTGTTAAACATGTTTACTCCAGCTCAGCTTGAACTTTAGGTCTTTCTTTTCTGGGGGCTATTAGGCTTAGGTTTATGAATAGAATTATTAAGCAAAATTCAACAAGTGTAATAAATAAACATTTATTTAATCTAGGCAAGCAGTAAAACGTTTGAAACAAAACATGCAATAAAAAGAGAACAAAATTGAAAATGATGTTGATAGAAGAAGTTCCAGTTTACATGGTGCCAACGGTCGTTAGTCGACGCGATTCCACGGCAATAGATAGTCGTAAACTTAATTCAGTTTTTATTTTTCTATTTCTGTACTTGAAATGGTTAAGGGTTAGATGTCAAATTTTTTTATCTTTTGTTTTATTACCTAAAATCGCACTGTATTTACTGTGTAGCATATTGTATCCTGAGTATATTGATTATTATAGGCATAAACATAGTAGGCCTATATTTCCTTAATGCTTGATGGACGATTAAATCAGCATTTTAAACAATCGATGATACTTCTATTTTTTGTTACTATAAGGTTCGTGTAAATGGTATTTTTGTTTTGCGTGTTAATTATCAACTAAAGTTCAAGTATGGTCGATGACTCCGTATTGATGGAATGTATACGTATATTTGTATTTAATTAAGAAAGAATATTATGGTGATATGATCCTTTCGCGAATATGACCCATGGAATTATTACAATTTTCACAACAATTGATTTCGCTTTGAATATATTCATGAAGGGACCTTTAGTAAGCACTACTAGGCCTACTCTATTTATAAGCCTTATCGACCTTTATATCATTATTATAAGTACCAGAGTTCAGACATAGGCTACTCATAATATTAAGTCTACTCTTGTGTTACATACAGTGTTGTTATGCAAATTCGACTTCACCACACAAAACAAAATGCAAGAGATTGCGTTTTATAATCGACGTCAATCAATCTGCAAGGAGAGACGTAAAATATCAGTCATAAGTACAGGTATGGTATTTTGTTTAGTATTTTTTCTGCATTATTATCATAATTTTTATAACGTAGCATTCGTATCAACACAGATCCTATCAGGATCGTGGCTGTATTGTTCTTCCGTGAGCTGGTACGGTATCGTGTTTAGACAGACCATGGACAGACAGTGCTTTTTGAAAAGTCGTAGCAAGAGAGTGTCACTATGTTCTTGCTTAGTGTACAGTATTACGATATTTAATAAATTGTATTGTAGACCTATGTTATTATATAGACATAATCTTAAAATACGCTGTAAGCCATTTATTATTGAATATTATTGTTTCACTCTAAACAGGTATTTCTGTATGTTCAATTAGTTGGCTTTGAAGTATAGATAAATGAAGCAATTTAACATCTTTCATCTTTTGTTCATTTCGACAGAAATGCTTGAGAATATGTTAGTGAGGATTTCCCTCGGAGTTTTCCAACGATGACACAGTTGAGAACAGACTGATTCCAATATGGAAAGCAATGAAAACATAACCACAACTGATATAGGCATTGTCTCGCCATCATTCAACACAACGGCTGCAAACACTACCTTTCAAGACTCTAACAACACCAGTGCAATTTTACCGTCCACTAGTACGATGCTTTCAGAAAACAATCCGTCCACATCTTTCATAGTAATATTTTGTATATTAATGTTCATTATATTTGCAATAACTGGAAATATATGCATTATAATAACTTTGCTTCGATCAAGGCATTTCAAAGGAGTTATTATGTATTATTGCATTGTTAATTTATGTATTGTTCAATTGTCCGAGAGTATTCTGGTTCTGACAGTGAGTTTTTCCGTCTCGATAACTGGATACTGGAAGTATACCACATCATTTTGCTCGCTTAACGCCTTTCTGGTTGAGTTCTTCAGTGTAGCAAACGTTGTCGCTTTACTTTTACTGGTAATCGAAAAATTTATATCTATGCAGAAACCTACAATGTACATGAAGTGGTTTACGTATCCGAAGGCAGTTCTAATATCTAGTTACGTTTGGATCCATAGCTGTATATCTGCTGTTGCACTGTTGACATCTGCCGTGCAGATAGAATATTATAATTCTCGCTATTTTTGTTCAATAACACACGGCATGTCACGGACTTACAAGATAACTGTCATGACAGTTTCTTACGTATTACCTATTTGTGTCATTATCTACCTGTATGCAGTTATTTTAAGAAAACACTTTAAAGCTGATCAATCAGATTTGAATGGGTCTGTCGTCGCTAACCAGTACCATAACCAACTTCAACATCAACTTGATTTATGCAAAGACAAACATAATGTGAAGAACATTGGAATGATTCTACTACTTTGGTGTCTTCTTTGTGGACCATATCACCTTGCCGATTGCATTTACCTTTTAAGTAGCAACTCTTACACTTCTGGAAGTAACAGCATTGAAACTCTGCTATCTGTAATGAAATTGTCGTATCCTGCTGTTGTTCCCATTTGCATCACTGTGCTCTGGGTTGATGTCAGACGGCAGATGAAGCAGGTTCTTCTTTGCCGAGTTAACGACATTGCCACTGTTCAATTAAGACAACAGGAAGGAATCCTACAGCAGGAAAATGTTCTACCATTGGAATTCAACACAAGCAGTGGAAATAATACCAGTAAAAACGATGTTAATCTGGGCACTGCCTACCAAGTGCCTGTACTTTTCGCTACATCAAACGGACTCCAACTAACGGTTGTTCGGAATAAGAAAGACAGCGACATAGCATCAACAGGGAAACGAATTTCGTCTGGAATCCGTATCAGTGATGGCACAGTGTTCCCAAATTTTGGTGTAGTCAACTTCACTGTTGATGAACTGGAAAATTACAGCATTGATGTGAGTGAAGATGATGAAACTTTGAATACAAGCTGGCGATCACAAGTAGAGACCCAACAACCAGTCGTGACTCGCACAGATGTTAGAATAGAACAGAGTCTTCCCGTGGAACCCGTAGTCCCACAATCTAAACCAGTGACGTAACAAAAGTTAGAAGTCTCTGACTAAGGCTTCCATGGGGCGCTTCCCTTTCTGGTTGTGGGTGTGGGGAAGCCCATCCGCTTCGGCGAATTTTGCGTTTTAAAGACGTATTTTTTACACGTTATAGTGCTGGCATAAAAAGACCCATTCGGCCAACGTGACTTTTACGCCACTGATCTGAACAAAACACCATGTATAAAAATGTCGAACATACTAACAAATACGTATTAACAAGGACTGTTAGAATGTAAAACAATTTTTCATCGTTCTCCCCTATCTGAAACATTCTTATCACTTAATAGCCATGCTTTCAAAGGGCCAAAGGCTAAATCCTCTGACCATGTTATCCTTACATCGTTTTATGATTTTGGTATCACTCTATAACCATTTTACTAGCACTTGCACTGTTGACGCAGTTACGTCGCATTTTGAAATGGATACCACATCATCGTACGGCTAAGGCACACGTAGGGCGTAGGGCTAGGGCACTCGAATATGTACGTTTACTCTACATGTATAAAATAATGCATTTTGAACATGTATAAAAAAATGCATTTTGTAACAATTTCCATAGCGAATATGGTCCCCATGCTGTAACTTCTGCACTTAGCCGAATTTAGAGAGGGAATGAATCCCTGCTTACAGTCGTACCATAGGACTTCGACTTAATTTAACAAAATTGACATAGGCCTACTTAAAATGATTTAATTCTGTTTTGTTTTTCTTTCAATGAAGGTTTCCTATGCCACCATACTAACATGCAAACATCACAAACGCCACTTCCTCTAACGAAGTACGTCAGCCAAACTTCACTGTAACAAGCTAACTTGAATAAAGCACAAATTTAACATATTGAAAAAAACCCGGTGGTAAATTTATAACACATTGTACAAAATGGAATGAATTAAAGCCAGTGGCTGTTGGAATAAAGGTTACATAGAGACCAGTTCTACTTGTAAATTGAACACTCTGTCATGCTTTTGTTGCGGATTTCAGGCCACTGAAAAGCTTTTTCCAACCCGTTCAATTATCACCGTAAGCTTAAAAGTCATTATCATCTATCTATATTATTACAGTAATAACCTATTTATTAACGACCACATTTTCTATATTATAAGCAGATCCACAATACAAATACAACGCAATATTATCACAATACAATTTGTCAGTATATTCACATAATTTGCAATTAGTATTTATAGACAAGTAATAGTTAATAACAAAACATGTTCATCAATTTTAAGAAAGATATCGAAGCCCAATTATTAAGAAGACAACTTAAAAATAGGATGCGGGAAGGGATAACGAACATTTTTTTAATTAAAAATGGTCTTGCGTGATATTTATTGTGTATACTTAATTGTGTGGGTGTTTTCTTTATGCATAAATACAAAAGTAGAATGATATAATTGTATGCAAAATAGAAGTTTTATTGTCAAGAAAACAAACAAATGTGTAACTCTATTTGATTTTAGCGTACCAAACACGCTACATATGCAGTAAGATCACAATACATACAAAGCCATCATCTTTATTTTAGTAAATTCATAAAGTGTTACTGTAATATTAATAAGCTTATTATTTAATTGTGTGTGATATTCAGTTTAAGTTATATATGACATTATCATGAAGGATATGTTGATTGAACAAAGTAAATGTACATTTTTATATTTCAAAATAAGAAAAAAAAACTATATTTAAGATGATGTACGAAATCATTTAATTGTAGTATAAATTTGAGTGTAATTTTTTTATTCAGTGTTATGTATTATGAAGTAATCTGCATTTTTACTATTGAATTCTCTCCGTCCATGTTTTACTATTGCAATATTGTCCAGATATGTATTAACATAAGCCTATATTTATTTATATTAATTTATATTTTTTATTTTTCAATTTTCAAAACCGACCAATGAATTTCTCTGTTTCTTGTTTTTACTTGTGGGGATTATTGGAAGTTGGGTGGGGTATCGTGATCGTTGGAGGGCAGTATTTTTTCATGAAACGTCATTATATTGGTTATCGTCTGTTCTTGTATTAATATAAGGCGTACGGCATTGAATATCAGTAGTGCATAATGAAACATGAAACCCCTCGTATCTGATCAAGAAGCACTTTATATATTCATGTAATCACGTGACTCCATGCTGGATGTGATATTAGTATGCGTTGGCAAACATTTTCAAGGTTTTGCTGTATAAAATGTTTGGATAGTGAACAAGAAATAAAATTTTAGAAAGTACTTAAATTAAGGTATATTGTTTATTTTGTACTATCCTTGATATTTTTTAGTTTTATATTGTCAAATCGGGATATTAGGAGGTTTCGCAAGCTTATTACGAGAACGATAACTAGTACAGCAGCGTCATCACAACGTATCTATCACAACGTAGGTCATTCATGCCTTTTAAGGCCGACTCAGACAGCGTCGGCCGACGCAGCCCGACCCGATTTATCGTCGGGGACAGTCTTAAGCCGTCGTGAGAAATATTAAACATGTTTAATATTCTACTACGCGACTGCCCCCGACGCGACGCACATCATCGCGTCTGCGTTCAACTCACACAGACCCGACGCGACAACAAATCGCGTCGGGCTGCGTCGGCCGACGCTGTCTGAGTTGGCCTTTATATGTATTTTTGGTATTTTCAAGAATGTTTTAGGCACAGATGACGATAAGAAGATGGCGTGGTTTTTGTAAGGTTGCCAAAACTCCTATTAGAGAACTATGGATCTGTGCTTGTTCATCAATCAATCAATCATTCATTCAATCAATCAATCAATCGAATAACCGATCAATTGGCAGGTTGGTTAATTGTTAATCGATCAATCAATCATTTATTCATTCAAAGTATTATCTAAGTTAGAGCTTTCCTGCTCTTTCCATTACATATTTTTTTATATTTTATATTTCATGGTATTTTGTAATAGTATAACACAGATAATGCTCATCGACAAGCTCTGAAAGCCTTTAAATGTTTTAAAAACACATTGCTACTTTACAATTACAGATTCATTGCCTTTGCTCTATCCACCTGACTTTCAGTGCCTGTTGATACAAAGGCATAATTCGTCATTTGAAGGAGTTTATCAATCTCAGTTATTTTAGTATTTAGTGACTGAATCAACCTCTTCTGGAGTTAGACAAATTTCAATTCTTCTAATCTAATGGACTTTTTAAGTGGTACCCACTGATATTCACATAATTGTGGCGAAGTTGAATTTATCATGTCTGTCACAAATATAAACTGTCGACCCTGTGATTTGCTGGGACGGATGCGCGGGGCTTGTGACGTCTCGTGATCGCATTCAGCAGCTACTTGCATGCACGCTGCTAAAATAACAGATAATATGTTTTTATTACAACTTAAGATTTTACATATCGATCGGCATATTCAATTCGTGAGATCCTCGAAAACTACATGAGAAGCAAACGATTTTAGGCTCAAAATGGTAATGAGGATGACGATGATGAGTAAGCCTATCATGATAATGATGGTTTCGATGATAGTGATGATTACGATCACAATTACGAGGAAGCCGATGATGATTCTTATATTTATTTATAATTATTTATATCATGAAAAATATCTCTCTAACATGGTTTCCTTAACAACAATAGCCTCTGCAAATAGCACACAGTTTCATTTTCATTACGATAATAGATTTTCAAATAACAAAGAATCAGCATTTCAAGGTTATCGTTTAATTGTAGCTAATAATTAAGAAATATGTTATTACCAGGTTGTGCTTTTGTCCATCACTTTGTGTAAAAGTATAAAACCTCTACAAGTGGCAACGTTTAAAATGGAAGGTTATAGGCCTAACACCTTATTATTTGTAAATCGAATTTAATATTCAGTAAACCAACCGTCTGTCTAACCGTTCTCATGTTTATCGAGATTGACAAATTACTAAGAGGAACCTATTATTTACACATTTTCTCCCAATTGGCTGCCATTGACTCATAATATTCTATAGACCTATATTATGATCGTAAAACCTCGAATAGAAGCCAAATGAGCTTAATCAATGGGCTTATGGGCCTATCGCGAATTGAATCCCCTCTTTATTTAGCAAAAGTAACCTCAAAAAGAAGCCCATCGCTAAGGCTTCTCTTCAAGATACGTGGGCTTCTTTTCGAAATAGTACAGTACATATACCCTGTACACGAATTTCTAACAAACAAAATAATTAAAAACACGCTTGGTTTATACAGGTAGTTTAGGTGACTAGTGATTTAATGCGGGTTAATACACTCAATGATACAGACTGATGTTACATTGACAATATTTATTATTTTATAGTAGTAATTCCCAAAATTCATTTTGAAAAGAAGACCCCTCTTTATCTTGGCAAAAATAGTCTTGAAAAGAGGCCCATCTCTAAAAGAAGCTCATTCAGGTCGCAAAAAAAGAAGCAGGGCTTTCTATTCGATGTTTTACGGTATTTCAAAATGTTAAGGCCTATGTATAATGTCTGCTTATAATGTATACCGAAATGATTATTAAACAATTGACACTTAACGTCATAACCATTTCCGAGCGTTGTCACTTGTGAATGCTATTGTAAGTTTTTTTCTTAAGTCAACGTGGCTTAGAAAAAAAGGTGTCTAGAGGTCGTATTGTGTTCCCTCTACTAACAAAACCAAACCTTTGAATAAAAACTATTCTTATGCAAAGAAATCCGTGAACACACTCATCGGAGCATGCCGAATAATGCTGCATACAAGCAAAGGGTTGTATGACTGACTCACCGTGCCAGCACTAAGGAGGTAGGACTTACTGCGATGAACGTTATTTTATTATAATCATTTATTTGGGAGTGGGTATGTTTGTATGGTTGCATAGGTTGTGGTACGATGATGAAGGGGTGCCCCTGTCCACAGGCCGCTTCTGCTTAATTGTGCCAGTGTTATACCGGTACACATTGATGCTTAGGTTTACAACTCATGGAATCTTTTTCTTTTGTTGTCATGTTTTATTATTATTATTATTCCAGAAAATCTGAACCATCGTACAAAATGTTAGACAGCATCAACATGATTAAACTAAGTGTAGCGCTCTTGATGTTTTTCTTTTGTGTAGTGGAACCACATACGTTTCACAAAAGAGCAGGTTAGTACTAAATCCATCTCTTAAATGTTTATATATATATATATATACTGTCTCTTATACACATCTAGATGTGTATAAGAGACAGGAATTCATGATTGAGATATTAAAATAGCTGAAATTCCAGGAGAATTAGCCCGTCTTATTCCTCGGAGGTACGCGTGCGGCGGCCGCGGCACAAACCACCACCACCCCCAGGCAATAATACGGATTATCGGACCACGTGGTTCTCAGGAGGAACTAACCATTAGGCCTAATATTTTCACACAAAATTCCATAAAAAAGGGAACGCCACACGAGGATGAGGGGTGGGGTCAGTGGCGTATCCAAGTGGTCGAAAGGGCCGCGCTCGTTCCCACTCCCGACAGGTGACCACAATCATCCATCTTCATCATCATTATAGCTGGACATCATCATCATTACAGTTTCAGGTCAGATGTGTATAAGAGACAGGTATGGTTTACTGATACCACATTTTAACATTAGGGAGTTTTCGCAAGCTTACGAAAAAGATAACGAATACGGTTACGTCATCAAATTTTTAGACACTTTTAAACCCTAACCCTACAGGAGAATATCTGTCACAATTTAGGCGATTTATGCCTTTTGCATGAATCAATCAGGATCATATGCAGCTCCTTCAGCATATTGTCAAGAATGTTTTAGGCACGAATGATGGTGATAATGACGTATTCGTTCGTTATCGTTTTTGTAAGGTTGCGAAATATACCTATTGTCCAAGATCGCAAGTAAAGTAAATTGATCATAGAGAAATGAAATTATTATTAGGCTTATCTTCGCGGCAATTTTGGTGAACGTCATGTGTGAATTTAATTGCAGAGTTCGTCACACCATAGAGCAATCTTTGCTCTATGGTCACACAAACCAGTCAATCAACAAGCAATTAATGATCAATCAATCAATCTTTAACTTAATCATCCAATCAGATAAACCAATCGATCAACATACCAAATCAATCAATCAATTAATCAATAATTATATTTGAGACGTGCATAATGCAGGTACTGTATCAAAATCTACTTTGCTGTGTATGTAACAGAATAATGCTTGTGCGGATAGGCCTACTACAGGTGAGGTGCATAGCATGTTGTACAATAGTACCGATTTATAATGGGGTTGTTCTGTATTTTTTATTTTCAGAGACTTGTGAAGATTACGAAAAGCTTGGAATCGAAGCATTCCGTTGTAAAAATAAGGAAAAGGGTGAAATCCATTGTATTGAACCTAAATTTGAATGTGATTCGATAATAGACTGTCTTGATGCCAGTGATGAAGATCACTGCCAGAAACAACATGCCGGTAAAGTGTACAGTATAGAACCCACTCCTTCGAAATGTGAAAAAAGAATTAGCCTTCATATCAGTTATATCATCATTAGGCCTAAAATATCATTATTATATTATATTATATTATATATATATACCGTGTATATATATATATAT